CCGGCTACGTTGTTAGATTTCAACGGATAAACTCGGCATACCGTATGAAAGTAGGTGAGAAAAAGGAGCGGCGGGAGCTTTTGCTTTAACCCACAAGCTCTTTCCCGACAATTTGCCTGGAAAGAAACGCAATTTTGCTCCTCCATTCTACTCCTCCAAGTCCGAGCGGCAGATCTTAGGCAGGTTATCATCGATTTCCTTCATAAAACTGTGCTGCAAACAGTGTGAGGAATAGTTAAAAGACCCGCGTGGCATGTAAAAGAAACTTTCAGTAATAGCTGGAAGACGAAAAGGAACATCGATTTTTCAAGCGGAATTTCTTCGGGAAATCGGAATTATACAAGTATACGAAGTTATACGATTTACGAAGTATTTATGTACAGAGATACGCGCCAGTTGATTCTTTGGGAGGTTCCTTATGGAAATATCGAATGAAGAATCAGTACTGGAAGAATGTGATTGTGGAAAGGGTAGGGAAACAGAGAGGATGGTTGAAGGTGCAGAGGAGTACACACCACAGTGTGGCACCGCTCAGAAACAATGAAGGCCGTTTAAAGCAACAGTTCAGGGAGGGTCCGAAAATTTCAATGCCACTACTACTGAGGGATACACGAGCCCTAGTGAAGAACATATGCAGTGGAAATAATAAACGAACTTACCTCAGAAACTCAAAAACAGGGTGGAAAGTCCCTCAAACATGGGTGTTCTTGGGGATTTCCCCAATCCCGCCCCCTTGCCGGCCGTCATTGGACGCGTCGGCAATCGTGCTCGTTTTGGGACCACAGGGAAAATTGATTGAAAAATGGAGCGCGTTTACAGCGGGCACGTTCAGACAACTCGTCCAACGTGCGTCTTTATCCATTGCTGAGCGGCAGAGGGAGAGTACCTGTCTAAGACCCTCCCCGACGTTTTTTTCCAGTTTTTCATACATTAATCGTCTGGTTTTCATCTACAACTTCATTATTGGTGGTTTTTTCTTTTTTTTTTTTTCCCGCCGGCGGAAAAAAAAACCGGTTCGCTGAACTGTGCTTTAAAAGTAGACGTCGTTAAGATGTGTGTGCAACAAAGCAGGGGCGTCGGGAGGAGGAATGGTAAAGAGTAGAAGTCAGAATGCATTGGGTCTGGTATGGCGCTCTAGCTTAAGTGGAAGCATGGTCCGGCGCAATGAGTACATTTTGAGCTATCACAAGATACGGGGGATGTGGTGGCGTATACATGGTCCAAACTAGAAATCTCATCTTTGCCAAAAATGGGACTAAACCTTAGATGGAGGAGGAGGGAACTCCAGATTGCGTGAGCAATTTTTTTATTTACCCCATGTTCCTGCCCTCACCTGACCCTAGTCCTAGAGCATGCCCCCGTATCTTGCGATAGCGCCCATTCTTGTTCTTCTCAATAGGTTCTGACAATGAGGGTTAACCTTTTAGTTCCAGATTTCTGAAGAAATGGCCATGTAACTGGAAACAGTGTGAGCAAAGGTCAAGGATTATAACTTCGAGAGAGTTGTTTGACGTAGAAGGAATGTTGTAGGAAGTTGACAGTGTATGAGAGTGAGGAAGTGGGATTCTTCAGCGTATAGGGGTTTTTTTGGGGCGATATTTCCCGAAGAAATTGTCACAATTTGACGAAATTAGAGGACTTTAAGTAGGCTTATTCACAGGAATCATTCAAAATTTTTTTTTTTTTACGTCTACCCCCCTCTCCCGCCCAGTCACCCCCCCCTCACGGAGCTCAACGGATATTCTGAGGTAAAGTCGAGGTATTAATCCAAGTGTGACGGAAAGATGGACTAGACCTGGAAATAGAGAATGAATTGGATGAAATGGCAGGCTGAGGCGTCTTGGTTGGCTCGCAAGATATCGGAATTACGTCGCGAACAAATTATCCCGATCGATGGTTTGTCCATCACGCAATCCTGGTACGAATTGACACTCTGCCAGATGTGAAGCGGCCGACTACTCACTAGACTCTCATACCATTCACTGCGAGTTTTCAACCCCCGGCCATCCGGATATTCCTGTCAAGGGAAAAGCTACGAAACCGCTACGGGAACCTTCCGATTTCCGTCCGTTCCTTGCTTCACCTAGGTATTCAAATTATGTTTTCAGCTACCTCGCTTCCTTTTTGTTCCCCAATAAATGCTTTTACTGGCCCTCGAATTGACCCTTTTCATATTCCCTGTTTTACGCTTCGATGGAATCGTTCTCTGGAAATAATCGATGTTTTTCTTTCCATTTACTACGCATCCCATCTGATCAGGTCAGTTGACGCGTAGATTGCTGAAACAATTGATGGACGACGTCAACCACAACTGATAAGGGAATCTTATCAATGCTAAGTTTACGGCCTCCGTTGGTAAGCACTAAAACAGTCGCTTTCTCTCTTTCGTGGACTACTGAGGGTGCAATGATTACGATACAATGGAATCAATAATTTGTTCAAGAAATAATTCAAAGATTGTGTTGCATTTCTGCTGAGATAAGAAAAATGTGTTGTGATCATTGAGAGATGGAAGGGAACCTGGTTGGAGCGAGAGTGAGGAGGGGGGGGGGAGAGGAGGGGAGAGGGGTGAACTTGTTGGGTGGAGCAACTGCGCAAATTACCACGGGTGCCACAAACTCAGTTATGACGCTGAAGCCCAAAGAGTTGCGTAAAAGAGTTTTGCGGAGCAGAATTTCAGTACTTTCGCAACGCGCCATGTATGCGGTTTTCATTCGAAACAGTAAACTTGGTGAGGGGAGGCTACTGTGGTTTACTTCATCCCTCTTTATTAGACGGATTTTGTACCAATTAATCGTCCCAACAAAAAACAAGGAGAAGGACAAGAACTGACCCTCGCACTTTGTAAATGTAAAACAAGGCGCGAAATGTAGCTACTGTTCCACATCAACATTGTCTCTGTACCAGTAGTACATCGATTGACAACTGCAAATTTTTATCGTAATAAAGACACTTTTGATTTTGGTCTAGGGCATAATTTCTTTAAGCCGTTCGAGGAGAGACTTTATAGGCTGACCGATTTCGGGTTATTTCGCCTTCGTTAGAGCCTGAAATGGCCGAGCTATGGACAACAATTGAACGGCTTGAAGAATTTCTTTCTGAGGTCATCATGCCGAGTTTGCAAGAAGGTCGAAAATGGACATTTTTGTTGTTTACATCAACACCAATGCCATGGTTCGGGGCTTTGCTCCAAACTGGGTCACCTAGCTGTAGTGGTCCACAGGATTCGGAAGAAGGATAGCAGCAAATAGCGGCAACGCCTCTATGCCAGGCCTCTGGCTGGATGCTGCTGCGGGAGTGCCAACGCGGATAATGAGGTAAAGTTAGCGGGTGACAGACAGGGCTGACTAGATGATCAGAGCCTCAACCTTTTACAAGTGGGATTTCATTAATAACTTTGATTAGCGAAAAAGCCATCAATATTGCCTTGAAAACATAAAATGGGCCTATGTAAAAAGACGTAAATGGTGTTTGATTTTTGCGGAGAGTGAGCCACTTATAGCAGACAAGTGTTGTCTTATTCTTCATTTATTTCTACAAGTGATGAAATGGGCGTTTCAGTAAATATGAGCTTCGTCCGATACAGAGCAAACCAACGTCAAAAACTCTCAGTAGGAAGCAGGGTGAAAATCGGTCGAGGGTCCGTCGATGACTAGTCGAGGCATTTCGCCTGTTCAGCTCTCCCGCGTGCACATTCTCTCTCGCCACGCGCGAGCGTTTGCTCTTCGCTTTTACTTACTCTCGACACCGATGCTCGCCACAGTACAAAGCAATCGGTCGGAGCGGATCCCTGCACGTAGGTCGTGTGACCCTTGTAGAGCGGCCAGTTCAGCCTAAATTTTAGATCGACATGTGGCCTAACGGTGCTTCCAATCAGTGAACTTAGGCATCGCGTCCCGAGGAGGACAAATAACGCCTTCAGGAAGTGCAGATTGCTTCGCAGTTACTGCGCGAAAGTACGCACCAAACTATCAATAGGTCATTGCATATACGCGAAATCAGAATGCCGCGGCTCATATTCCCATTCAATCAGGTCGATGCTGTGCGGTTTCTTTGTCCCGAACCCTGCCTTTTAGTGCCGTTAATGGACTCGATTTCGGCACATCGCAAACGTTATCGAGGTGTCGTGGTTTCGCCAGCAGGATGGAGTGCTGCTTAGCTATCTTTCCAGGGCAAACCTGGTAAAGAAATGAATTCATATGAGATATGGGGATGTACACAGGAGTGCCAAAAAGCTCCGCGGACGTTCGCAAGAAAAAGTCCCGCCAGTAACATCCGCCAGCTATTTCATCCATTACTGCTGAAATGCAGGCCTAATTTCTGGGGAACTCAATCTATCGACTAGAGCCATTACTGCAGTGTTGAGTAGAATCGGTAGCCAGTTGCATTTAATCAGCTGCAAATGGCTTCATTAGGAAGAAAAAATGAACTTTTCCCCGATTTTCGTTGTTGAGGGGAAACTAGTAGAACATACTTAAAGGCACAGCCCACGATTAAAGTGGTGTGGTAATTTCGTTCTAAAATCAAAGTAGAGATGCCAGATGGACCGATATTGAAAAAAGGGAAAAGAAAACTACAAGAATCGCTGGAATTGAGAGCTTTTTCCAGGCAATAAAGGAAGAGTAAAGGAAGGTAGACAGAGAGAGGTAGACAACGATGAGTGATACTGAGCGCCAAGAGGAGCAAAGATTTTGGAACGAGAGAGTGTGGAAACGAACGATAATAGGCGGCGGCTTAAGACGTTTATTTCAGGGCGGGAGCCGATGCAGTGGATGAAGACCCGTAAGCATCCTCAGACCTTCACACCCATTTTTGAAAATTTTTGCAATGAACTCGGTACATTCCGCGTGTTTGCAAGCACCTCTGCCTTTCCCTGGCTAGCTTTCAACTCTGTAACCTAATCATGGGGTGTGCCTTTAAGACCATTTGTGCCTTGCACATTACCAGGCATTGACACCAAAAGTGCTATTTTCTGTAATGTTCTTTTTGAAAGGTATTAATCACCTCCGGAATCCGGTCAATCGGATGTCCAGTTTATGCTTGATTTCCACATACGACTGACAGCCATATGAGCACGGGAACTCTCCGTCGGAGAGTCGGAAACGTACATGAGCTCCTTCTGGCACCTGAAGACACCAGCAGTCAGATGAGTCCAGGGAAATAGCGCTAGTCGAAAACTCACCGATATCCTCCAGTAGCAGATGACGTCTTTTCCCGGCGGACTGGTGAGCGTTTGCCAAGTGTCGGTTGCTTGTAGTTCACCGCCACAAGCTGAAAATCAGAAATTAGTTGGGTAAAACTGAATTATGGAATCCAATTGAATTGCATTTTTCTAGGAATAACTCGGAGTTAATTATTTTTTCCATAGGGAGTTTTCAGGGATCCTCCCTAGCCTCATTCATCCTATGCAGTACTGGGATTCGATCCTCCCTCGCCTCAGTCGTCCTATGCAGTACTAGGATTCGAATGCCCAACTGGGCAGACCCTACTGATTTTATAACTGGGGGACCATTTTGAAGACGTATGCCACTGTTCTGGAATTTCTAGCAATAGAAATGATCTCATAGGAAATAAAACTCATTGCTACTAGTAATATTCGCATACTTGCTGAACTATCAACGTAAACGTTCTCTAGAAAGCAATTTTGAACGAGCTCGAGCTTTGACGGTGCTAATAGCAAATTTCTCGATAACTAACGTGAAAGCGCTTGAAAATAAAAGTAGAGATAGGAACTGGACTGCTGTTAAGGAAAAGGGAAGAAGCAAGCAAGGGCGCTGGGAAGAAAGGCCCCTTTCTCTTGATCGTAGACGACTCTGAAAGATCGACAGTCCAAGAAATGCTGGGCGCCGACGCGAGAGTACGGAATCCGAGACGAGAGGGCGAACGGGACGAGCGACAGACGCCATTGAATTCGCAGCCATGGGCATTCATGGTTAAGTACTGGGTCCACAGGTGCAATTCTCAAGCCCTTAGCGTCCTTCCACACAGTTTGAGGTAGTGAAAGTGGCACTGTCTCTGTGGGTAGAAGGTCGGCTTCCTCATTCACGAGTTTCGTATATCCAGCAAATCAGCGCAGTAGTGTCTAAGCGCTTGTGCATTCGAATTCAGCCTTCATTGCCAGTGTTCAATGAAAGTTGAGTGTAATTGCTCATTCCCTTGCGAGCTTTTCAATTTTGGTTCGCTTGCTAGGGGTTTTCGAGACTGCTCTCCTAGGACCAATTGATTGTTGTCTTTATTGAAGCAACATCCTCAGCAGAAGTCATTTGGAAGAAGCTGTTCGGTGGGTGGGATAGAGTAGCCTACGAGTAGCACAGATCTACCTTTATCTCGGCTTAAAATTGTGCGAAAATGGTGCTAGGGTCTTACAAATTCGTCTTTTGACGACTAATCTGAGCATTTGGACGAGTTAGGGCGCGCACACCCCTGACACGCAAACTCTGAATATACGGATACACGTTCGTAGCGGCATAATCAATTACGCGCGGGTTAGCTGAGCCGTAGAGCAGGGAGATTTGTACAACTCGTCTGGCCCCGCCCTTCCCTATCTCAAGGCGAATCCTTGTTTGGGGCTTCATCAACGGTTTCCAATTGCTTCTTTTTTTATTTTCAATCAACTCGGCATCCACGACTTCATTTCAACCGCTGTAACCCCATAAATTCGTTCGTGAGCGGTGTTGCCTCCGTAAGTTCTCTTTGTGCAGTTTTCGCGTATCTACCGGTGCATATACAAACAACAAAATAGATATACAATATAAATAACTAGGTTTTTTGGTTTATATTTATTTCTAGGCCACTTGTATCGGTTTCGCCTGTTTGCAAGACTTCAACAGCGGCAGTCCAACGCAAGGACCACATTTTGAACAGCAGGTATAAAATGGCAGTTGAACAGTGATTTCCATTTCTTCACATTTTTGTGCTCGCTCAGCAGTTGGGCTTTTGATCCCGCACGAATTAAATTTGTACCAACCTATTGGACATTGGAACGAGCTTAATCTTCAGAATAGTAGTATCGAATTGCCCACCGATGCGACGTCTGGCCCGATTTGAATCCATTCGCGACCGCGCCGGTTTGCGCATTAGCAGGAGAGTCAGGAGATTTTTCTTCAATAAAATTTGAGTGGATGGAGATTCCCCGTGCCCAAGTCTGGCATAGATGAATGAGGGTATGAAGATTCTTTTCAGGAAAGAAAACTTTCCAAATTCCATTTGAAACACGGCAGCCACCGGTGGATACCATTGTACAAGTGAGATCTTTGTCAGCCACCGGTGGCTGCCATTGTCACGAATGGGTTAAATTACGAACACACTGCGCAGAATAGGCAAACCCTTCCGGAATCCCATAAAAGAATCCTTCTCTTGTTACGGGGCCAATCGGACCGTTGACCCTGTCAGCCAGTACCATCGTAACGATCGCTGGGAAACTTTAATTTGTAGGCGATAAGTTTTGCTAAAATTTCGGCTACCGCGCTGCCAGTGGAGCAGTCACGAGAAGTTGCCGTTGCATGCCGAGTATGAAAATGCCCCAAGTAAGCCAGCGGAGCAATAGGGACTGGAGATCCGCGACGTCCGAGTTTCACTAGTCTGAAGCCAGGAGGCTTCGCATTCGTGTGAAAAGCGTGGAAAGCGATATAAAAGCAATTTGGTGCTATCGCAAAATCAGGCATTTCAGTGGCAACGCGCTCGCCCTACGTAGAACATCACCTTTTTGTTAGAAGCAGAAGCCTTTCAAAAGCAGGACCAAGCTTTTTAAAAGCAGAAAAGCCTTAGTATCCGCGCTATTGAGAAATCTAAGTTGCGTATAGCAATTTTCATTTTCCTCGAAGCTTCTGCGCCGTCGTGAGCTTAGTCCTACGGATGTTCCCTTATCCTGTGATAGGGCCAGAAATTCTGCATCCAAAAGAATAAGGGTAACTTCGTATTTTTGTAAAGTAACAAACAGCATTTGGGACCAAGAGCCATGCTCGTCATAGTTTTAATAGCTAAAACCAGGCGCTATCGTAAGACACGGAGGCATTTTCTAGGATTGTCCCTAGAGAGGAGTACGAACTTCGGGAAATGAAAATCGCTTTCGCGTCCTGAAGTCCCTCCTCCCCCGCCTAAGGCTTAGTCTCGTTTCTAAAAAAAGATGTTTTACGTCGTTTTAACTGGACTGCTACCACGCCCCCATATCTTGTGATAGCGCCTTCCGTGGACGGCTTCAATTGATAGCGTGACGCCCTGCGTTTCACCCTATTTCACTGGAAATGTCGCCATGAATTAGCTGCAGATGGAGAAAGTAATGCATTTGAGCTTAATTTATGCGGACAGGCAGGGTTGCAGCTTTTGCTGATGGAGTCATAATTCAGCAACAGCACAACAGCGTCGAATTGCATTTGAATATGCGTCTGTCAGCCAAATACCCTTGAAAGATGGGTTTCTGTGAGGTGGTAACGCAACGGCTGGACTGGCAGGTTCCTTTCCACAAGACTTGAAAGGTCAAGCTCCATGAAGTCAACTAGGCTCTCTACTACTCCTCGGTGTCGCTCAGTTGTTACCTGGGCTACTTGCAAGGAGGAAACGCCCCTCCCCCCCCAAATATCAGCGGTCAGAAGTCGTTGCATGGAAGGAGACGTAATTAAATTAGACAAAAAACGTGACGCCTCAATGCTGAACACCTTGTCCCATTCCTCTCACTTGACATTAATGGCGATGGGGCTTGGGATAGGCCACGTATTCGACCCATAAAGAACAGTAGAGGCATACGATTGGTAGACCATGTCGAGATGCAAGTAAGACCTTCGCTAAACAGATACACAATGGCATCAGTTTCTTGAGGGCTAGATATGTCCGGGCATGCTTTACCATCATGCGTGCAGTGTGGAGGAGAAGTGTGGCGTGCATGGCGCGTTCTTCAACGGCGATCCTAACCGTTTTACTTTTACACGAGTCACGTGATTCGGTAGGTAGTGTGATCGGTAAATCGACCTATAACTGGGACAAGGTCTCCTGGCACAGGGATACTTTAGTACGAACTGAGAGGTCAGTCTACAAAGCACTTACAAGAGTAAACAATCTGAAGTGCGTCCTAGAAAATGGGAGCTGAGCGGTAGCGCTACGTACAGTTACAGGTAGAGTTAAACCGTGCATCTGACCTGATTTTTCAAATACACGAACCCCATTGACTCCGATGGGTCGCATGGGGTCGGTGTATTTGAGCGTTGCTGATGATAGGCGCTGTAACCTGGTCCAACTTGCACCTCCTCCAACTCCGCCCCATCTCCCTCGTCAGTGGGAATCTCAAAAGTGCGTGGGGCGGGGGTTTGACTTTTGGAAATACTTAACAACTCATAAAAAAACCCTCTTTATCTTCCAGAAACACGACCCTAGATCTTCCTATAATTTCCGAAATCAGAAGTTGCGGTGAGGCCCTGTTCAGAGATGTCCGCCGGCGCGAAAAAACGCACAGGCGAAAATCTCCGCCAAGATTTAGATACGCATCGACTGAGAAATTGTGAAACGCGTAAGCGAAACGTCCGGAGCAGGCGAATTTCAGTCAAGAGTTTGATATGTATCGACTGTGAGAAACGCACAGGCGGAAAATCGCGTGAGCGAAGCGTTCGTAAGTCGATGCGTATGATACTCATTTTCGTCGATCCTCCCACTTCACGATTCGCCTGTGCGTCTTCGTTCAGTCGATACATATTTCACATTGTTTCGCCTATGCGTTTTTTCGCGCAAGCGGACATCTCTGAACAGGGCCTGAGGCGACTTAAGTAGCCCGCTGACCCTTGATCACCGCTCCATGATAGCCAGTTATAGGTTTAAGAAGCAATTCATGCGTTTATAAAAAAATGCATTTATAATAAATAAGCTCACCACTAGGTTGTAATCGGCCGCAGTCGGCACCTCCTAATCCTTCTGGGCAACGGCAAACGGCGCAATTGTTCGGATCAGGATAGCCGCCGGCCAAACAGTGTAGATTTGATCGTCCAGCACAGGCATCTGGAAAAACTTCGTGTGAACTTCCTGGGTTACAGTAGCTACTATACATATGGGGTACGGATAGCCGAGTGGTTGAAAGTGTAGACTCATGTCTGCACCTCTGAAAGCGCGGATCCTGCCGAGGTTTAACCATCAACGCAGGAATTGCAGAAGTGGTTCTGGTACCGGCGCCACACTCAGGTTGACAAGCCGGCAGAGGAACCCAGTCACAATTATGTCTAAAGTCGAAAAAGGAAATCACAGGAGTTTGACACTACAGGTCTTTCTCATGACAGTCTTGGGACCACCGCCGGAAAGCGTCACAACTGGAATTTCATTGTTGCGTGACCCTCGGGAAAGTTTAGTTACACCACCAACTAAGCTCTTCCGGGCGTTGAATATGATACAAACGGAAACGCGAATTACGGCAAGCATGTGGGGATCAGTTTACTGAGTTCAATGGTATGCGCGCCAAGTTTTGGCATGAGTGAGCACATTCGTGGTTTTCGGTAATTGATGGCGCACTGGAGAGGGAGGGGAGGTGACATGGTATTGAGATTTCAGGGATCTATGGTTAAAAAGGGTCCCACGTTGCAGGGATGATTAATATATGTGGCAGTGGAAATCGAAGATCGAACCAGGGCCGCCCGCGTGTGGAGGCGAGCATTCTACCAATGAACCACTGATGCACCAGAAATGTGTAGGACATCTTTTGGATCTGTTGATCGGGGGAATACAGTAGTGGAGTGTCTTGCTTGGAATGTGGGCGTGCCTCTTATGGTTAGTCTCAAACGAGGCCGCGCTGTGGTATCTTGTGAGTGGCAGTTGTGGGCTTAGGAAGTTTGTGAGATGCTGAGATGAGTAGATAGGTAAGATTAGATAGGAAGGTTCTGGTGGCGTGCCAGAACAGGCGGAACTAAAGCAGTCGCCTCTTGTTCAGTATTAAATAACGCCCTCCCTCTCTTCACAGTTTGAAGGATTGCTAGCGCAGCGTTGAATATGTCATTAAAGGATAAAGGATAAAGCATTTGCCGTTGATCAATCCCGTTTTGGGATGCGGCACGCATTCTACTTCCATTTGTACATTCGCAGTGGCATTTGAATGCGATGTGGCCTATACAATGACTTGCGGGGGCCAGCCGATGTTCAAGTCAGTGTTTTTATCCTCCCAGACAAGTCTGGTACCAATTAACCCCCGGAGGGATGGAAGGCTTGGTTGGCCCGGGCGACTCACGACCCAGGATTTGATCCCGGACCGCTCGCGTGGTGAGCGCGCCACTTGTCACTACACCACTTCCGCCCCTTCAAGGATTAAGTTAAGTATGTAACTTGGTTCGTATAAGCATATAGCTCGGTATGGTAGTAAAGGATGATGATGTGGGTGGGTGAGTGGAGGAAGCGGGAAGTGTGTGAGGCGGAGTTTGCCGGATGAGACAATCCAGGCTGATGTGGATATTTGTGAAAGATCCGTAGTCGGGACCTCAGGAGCGCGGCGAAGAAAGGCCTTGAAAAATATTGAATATACCAGCTGTGCAGGAGGTTTGTGGGTAATAAAGCTAACTAATAAAATCTGAGGAACAAGTGCAGGCAATAATCGAGGGACCTCAAAATTCAAAGTTCGTTTCACAGTGTGATAGAATGAAATGGCTTGAACTCTAATGCTACTGGCTGAACTCTTGGAAATCTAGCCGTCAATCGGAAATGGGGATAATGTGGCCGAAAAAGCCGCGGATTGGTATGCGTAAAATTCGGGAACATATTCAGTCTGTAGCTCATGTTAGCTATCTCAGCTCATCATCCGATTAGCCTATGATCCTTGTTGAGGTGAATGCCTTAGGCGGATGATTCATGAGCTGCTTGAGGAATTGGAGTAGGATGGAGGGGCGCGGGTGTGATAGAGGGTCGAACAAGAGCAAATTTCTAACTCACTCGGGCAGTAGATGTCGTTGATGACTTTCGCATCCAAGAATGCCATCTTTTCAGTGCCCATTGTGGTCACGTACTTCAACTCCTTTGGCACAATCGTGAAGTCGGAAACCTATGAAAAAGTCAATTTTTAAGTGTTTGATTTCGTATTATCGTTTCTAATCGACATTCCATAGTACACCCTTTCATTAATTTTTTGAATGTTTCGAAATATCGCTCTGGAGAGCAACTCAGTCGAACAGGAGGCGCCATCGCAAGATGAGCTATCCAAGCCAAGCGGGTACCCGACAACAGGCGCGTCGCGCGGCAAGAAAGCCAAGACATAAACGGGTCAGCAAACGAGTCATAGAGCGCGCAGTAGCAATTTAGCGTCGAGTTAGACAGAATCTGCTACGGTACATTCCGCATTGCTCAGCACGCAATGCGACTCGTCCGCTTTTCCGCCGCGCGACGGGCCTCCTGTCGGGCTGCCAACCTAGCTTAAAAAATTAGCAGCATTGGAGACTGACAATCTAAGCGCTGCAAAACATTCTGAGCGTTTATTCAACGGTTTGCATTAGCAAAATAGAATTGGGAGTGATTTGTCCATTTTCATCGGATTTTCGTCTCTCTTAAGCATTAGTCTTGCCCCTCCTCCCTCCACTTTGACTTTGACATTTGAGACATCGAGAATCTACTTGAGAATTATGATTACCACAACCAAAAATCCGAACACGAAATATTCCCAATAGACGTCTATGACTAAAATAAGGCCCTCCCTCTTTTTCTGGCATAAATACACAAGTGATACTATTTACTTCCAAAATTCTGAAATAATTCAAAAGTGTGGGTGTACTAAAAACTGGACTACACCTTCATGATTGCGATTGCTTGACGGATGATTGACCAGAATCCATGTTCTGTCAGAAATGACGTTACACTTGGTTCAGATTGAGCAACGCAAAAGCATGGGATTTATGGGTGCTATGCCAGATTGGGGGCATCTCTCAGAACTAACCCCAAAAGGGTGCATAACTTAAGAAAGTGGGAGTATATCCGCTCGTATACCCTAAATTCTCTCCACTCCCATGAAGAACTTTGTCTCCTTTTCAACAAAAAGGGGATGTCTTACGTGGTTCTGAATGCGTTGCCATAACAATGCCCCCATATCCTGCCATAGCGCCGATTTTTGTTCCCATTGGAAATGATGGTGCTTTTTCAGCCAAATTCTTGGCGTTTCCCTTTGCGCAATCAAATGAGAACAAAAAGCCGTGATGCCGTGTTTACAGAAGACGGTTCGAATTGGCACGGTAAATGTTCATTGAAACTGGTGATAAAGAGTTTGTCAGGCAAAAAGCGTTACAGCACCTCCACTCTTATAAATCATTTCGTAGTCGGTGCTTGGCACAACACATATTTCTCTTTTTCAGGAAAGATTCAAAATACGTGGTTGTTAATGCGGTGATAAGGCGCTGTGCGGATACGGTAAACTGGTTTTATTGTTTCATTTCTTATTAATTAATCTATTTCTCAAGGTAAGTCAGTAATGTCGCAATTACTGAATGCGTAAAACCGATCTAGAGTAATACAAATAAGATTGACCCTAGAGCGTTTCAGCGGTTTACGGACTAGGTGATCTTTCCTCAATGGTTGCCGCGAATGGTCAGAGCCCAGATGATCGGAGAACGGCACTTACCGCAGCTTCTAACGGTGTCAAATGGAACATACGCTGGAAAAGGGAATGAGGGGGTGAAGGGGGAGGGGTGCGTTAGCCACTTTTCATGTAGTAAAAGTTTGAACGTGCGAGTTCGCTATTGTCGTAAACCAGTGCACGCGAGAGGGCGCAGACAAGAGCAGAACAATGACTTATTCGAAGGACCGAGTTCAAGCAGTCCGTAGACGCAAACCGTCTGCCTTAGAAAAGTGGATCAGTTGATAGCGATGAAGTGACTCCTACTGGAAATTTGGGTACTGGCTGCACTGGCACACAAACATGCATCCACACAGATTAACTATGCATCCAATCGCTTCCAAAAATCGGAGCATATATGGGATGCATGGCGCATACGGAAGCAGTCTTTGCTCATGTTTTGTTCATTTACTTGTTATTTTTTTAAAATTTCCTAACGGTGTCTCAGCTTCAGCGACTAGAGTTAGACGGCGGCAGGTGACGAGCAGGCAGCGGTGAGATCGGCGTGGAATAGACTCCGGGACCACCATTTGCGCAGTCTTTTCAGATGTAACATATCCTTACAAGCACAACAACCCAAATCTTTCTTGGCAAACTATAATTTAGCGACAAGTGCGTGGCGCATCCCAGAGAGATTAATGAGCTCTTCACCAACGCCTTTCTCTTGTTCTCTCCTCTATTATCCTGCTTTTTTGAAGTAATTTATAATGCACGAAACATAGGTAATTAGACTACTTCAATGCAATAAAAAGTTGAGTCCCGAATGTTGACGTACCTTGATCGCATGAGCGACTGCATGGTAATGCATGAGAGATCCGTAATCGTAAGGAACTCGTCGTGGAGAGACCTTGAAAGAGTTGCTTTTGAAAGAAAATCGGCTATTGATGCAACTACTGAGGTACAACGTTATCATTTTAAATGTTCAGTAACAGTATGAGCCTTCAAGGGTTTACTCAAAACCACTTTTTGATTTTTGTGGCCCTTTCCTTAATC